GGGGGTGTCTGCTGGGGGGGTCTCTGCTGGGGGGGTCTCTGCCGGGGGATCTCTGTTGGGGGGGTCTCTGCCAAGGGGGTCTCTCTCAGGGGGCCTCTGCCAGGGGTTCTCTGCTGGGGGTCTCTGCCAGCGGGGGGGATCTCAGCTCAGGGGGCCTCTGCTGGGGTGTTCTGAGCACGAGGAGGTGCCCCACGTTCCTCTCCTTGGGCGTGATGGCTGAATCACTGACAGGCCGCAGGTGCGGAGGCTGAGGGGGCCTGGGACCCACCCGGCCCTGCCATGCGCCCAGGCTGGGCCCAATCCTCGCATCCTCACCACCGCCGTGGCCTCAGGCTCTGTTCCCAGAACATGTCCCCGTTCTCATAGGGAGAAACGGCTCGGTATTTCCTAATCCAGATCTGAGCCAGCAGATCTGACAGTGGGTGGCAGGAGGTGGTGGGAAGCCCCGTCTACCTCGGGGGAGCAGCACCCTGGCCGTGACGAGGCGACCAGAGGAGGAAGGGACGTGGACGGAAAAGCACCTTACTGATGCGGTCAGCTCTGCGTTTACTGGTTCTCTGGGGAAGCAGGTTTCCCTCACTTTCCAGCAGCAGGTCTGAAAGACCCCTTCAGGGATCTTTGAAGGCAGAGCCGCAAGCAGAGGGCTCTGGGTCACTGCGACCCCAGGCTCTGCCGGCAGCACCAAATCCTTCCTCCCCTCAATTATCCCCCCGAAAAGCAGACTCAGTCCCAGGGCCCAGCACACTCCGGCGGGAGCCCGGGAACATGGCCTTGCCCCTTACCTTTGCTTTTGTGGTAGGTAAATTCATGGTTGGTCAAGCGAAACCATCTCTTCTTAAAATTCTTCATCCCAAAGCGCTTCCGTCCTTGCGCCCTCTTGATCATGAGCCTGTGTGAAGAACACAGGGCTGAGGTCCGGGCCTCAGCCGCCTCCCTGCACAGGCGCAAAGCCACATCCCCCAACATTCTGCGTTCTGAGACCTGAGGCGGGCGGTGGATTTTCCGTATCATATCATTTTACTCCGAGTGATGAGATTAAAATTGGAAGGCAATGCCTCTCCTTTGAAAAGTTGAGCGCTGACTGCTTTGAGTCACCAGTTGGTGATGGCACCAGGTTTCAGGAGATCTCCAACCCTCCCGCCTCCCACACTGAACTTTCAACAGCGGTGCCGCCGGAAATGCCAAGACGCAATGCTCCCACAGAGGACCCAAGGCCGCGGGCTCGGGGTCAGGGGTTGGCGTCAGGGTGGGCCACGGGCTTGGGGTCAGGGGTCAGGGTGGGCAGCGGGCTCAGGGTGGGCAGCAGGCTCGGGGCAGGGCGGGCAACGGACGCCCACAAAACCCGCACCTGTGGTGTGCAGGAGTCACGCCCCAGTGCCTCTGCCAGACGAAACCTGCCTTGCTCAGGGCCAGCCCTCCTGTGGCAGAAGGCGCCACTGGGCCACGTCCTCAGGAGATGTGGGGAGCCAGAGACAGGACGGCCACCGAGGATGCAAGGCCTCAGCGAGGACGACCTTAGGCCTTGCCCCAGGCAGGGTCCTGGACCGTGAGGACGACCTTAGGCCTGGCCCCAGGCAGGGTCCTCGAACGCCCTCCTGGCAGCCCAGGGCCCTCCGAGGCTCGGCCTTCATCGCCGGACGGGGTCCCTGACCAGAACTGGTGGCTGAGCTGGAGGAGAAGAAAGTGGCCGGACAGAGTGACTGGAGGACAGAGGTGGAAGCTGAGGAAGAGAAGCCAAGCTGGAGAGACAGGATGGGGAGGTGGGCGGGGGAGACGCACACTCAGAAATCGGAATGAGGGGCTTTGGGCAACTACACAGCCAGATGTGGCCAGAGAGCTGCGGACGCACACGGGAGGGTGTGGAAGCCACTGGGAGCCGCTGGGACAGCGCAGTTCACAATCAGTGGATGCAGAACACCATTCATTCCGGGGATTCGCAGGCAGGAAGTCAGCCCTGGAGGCTGTGGAGGACCAGCGGGACGCAGCTGGATGTGCAGGGCGGGGCCCACACAGACGGGTTGGGGGAACGGGAGCTCCACGGGGTGTCGGCTTCCTTGAGGGCAAGAAGACGCCTCTGACAAGACTCTGGACCACGCGGCAGTTAGATTTGAGTAGTAGTCTTGTTATAAATGTGTTTGGCTTTAGGATTTTTTTAAGAACCCCAACTTTCTGAGAGCCTTCAGTGGATGTGAATTTTATATGCAGGTTTCCAGGTCGAGGCAGTGCCAGGTGGAGAGAAGCCGGTGGCTCCTCACTGCACAGCTCTGGTCTGGGCGCCTGGATCTCCAGGAGCCAGTTTTCTAACCGGGACCATCGTGTGTGGGACGGGGAGGCAGGAGCCACGGCTGAGCCGGAAGCCTCAGGCTGAAAGCAACTCGGCCCCGCACGGCCACGGCCAACTCAACTCAGCAAACACAGGCCGCACTGCGGAGGCCCCGTCCCCGGTCCTGTGTCCCAGT